GGTGGCTGAGGCAAAACCTCAAATGGCTTTGTCCCCGCCCCCGCTAGGGAATAAGGAAGATCTACATCAGGAATTAAGTGGATCTAGTAAGGTCATCTTGTAGTAACACAATAATTTGCCATGCTAGGAACGCCACGACCTTTCTAGTATTCACTGCAATGGAGAAATAAGAGAAGTGCATGTCAAGATCAGTATGGAATAGTAGCCAGAATGTTGGACCTTAGACTGAGGAGGTTCGAGTTCAAATCCCCACTTGGGTGCAAAGATCACCTTAAGCCAGTTTTTTTCTCTCAGCGTAGCCTACCTCATAGGAATATCGTGAGAATAAGCGGGGGGCTGTGTACAAGCCGCCAATCTTCATAGAAAAGTGTGGGATAAAAATGTAATAAATAAACGTGGAAATGATTTAACAATCTCAAGGGAGAAATGTCAGGAAAGTAGGTCTCTATGAAAACCAACCACGTGTGTGGTTGCTCCATTGGTGAGAACATCATCGATCAGCGACACAAATGAGAAGATGCATATCTGATTGTGTGGCATTTAATCATACAGAACAAATTTAGAGAGGGCTTGTACCTCATTCAAGAGGGGGTGTGTAAATATTTGAGTGTTTAAAAAATAGCTATACAGTGGTACCTCGGGTTACATACACTTCAGGTTACATATGCTTCAGGTTACAGACCCCGCTAACCCAGAAATAGCACCTCGGGTTAAGAACTTTGCTTCAGGATGAGAACAGAAATCGCACAGCGACAGTGCGGCAGCAGCAGTAGGCCCCATTAGCTAAAGTGGTGCTTCAGGTTAAGAACAGTTTCAGGTTAAGAACAGACCTCCGGAACGAATTACGTACGTAACCAGAGGTATCACTGTAGATCATTATACATGGGGCTCCCATCCAAATTGCTGTACATATATAAATATGATGTGTCCAAGCAGCAAATGTATATTTGAGAATGTACATATGCAGGTACCAAACCTATTTTGCCTGTCCATGCAGCAGAAAATCAGTTTTCTGTGACATAATATGTAAAGCAGCTGTAGCTAGACCTTGAATTAGAGTTACTGAGCCCATTTTTTTGTACTGGCAGGAAAAGAGAACAAGATTAGTCCCTCTCACTGAGACAGTGAGAGAAATTATGCACAGGGTTTTGGTGCTGGTACCTTCAATTTCATCAGGATCACATGCTGAATGAGAGATGCCTCCCACACAGGCCAGTTACAGGGACTATTTAGTATATTGTCTATTCCAGTTTCCAGATTCGTTTTCATTTTTGCTTTGGCGCAACAGCACACCTCCACTGTGAGTTAACTGAACTGCTGAATATTTGCGGGCAGCATAGTTCCTCTTGTCTACAACTGTTATGTTCTGTAAGCATATTCTACTTGCAGTTTCCTAGGTGTTATGCAAGACAAAGTTAGGTGTGACATTAGCAAAAAAATTCCAGTAACTGTGTGCTTGCTCACGGCTGTCCTGCACAGAAGGTTTTTGTTCTGCTTTTCTGGGCAGAGGGGAAAAATTAGCCTGCCAACCAGAAAGCTCCTTAGGCAAGTCACAGCAAGTTGTGTTTCTGACATCCACACACCCATGGTCTCTTTCTGGTGTGATGTCCTCTGTTGGTGTGGTTAGGGTGGTGTGAAACTGCCCCCATAACATTTTCTAGGACAACGTGACAGAGCACCACCACCCTGAATTGTAAGAAAAGGGGTAGATAATAGTAGAAGTTTCACAGGGCTGGGGGGATTTCAGGCAGATCACTGAAACCGGTTACCAAATGCAATTGGGTCATGTTTTATTTAGTCATTAAATAATTAGCTAGATAAATAGTTATTATCTAAATAAATAGTTACTTAGTAATTAGTTAAATGAGCCAGTGTGGTGTAGTGGTTAAAAACGGTAGACTCGTAATCTGGTGAACCGTGCTTGCGTCTCCGCCTCTCCACATGCAGCTGCGGGGTGACCTTGGGCCAGTCATACTTCTTTGAAGTCTCTCAGCCCCACTCACCTCACAGAGTGTTTGTTGTGGGGGAGGAAGGGAAAGGAGAATGTTAGCCGCTTTGAGACTCCTTAAGGGAGTGAAAGGCGGGATATCAAATCCAAACTCCTCCTCCTCCTCCTCCTCTTCTTCTTCTTCTTCTTCTTCTTCTTCTTCTTCTTCTTCTTCTTCTTCTTCTTCTTCTTCTTCACAACATTTATATGCTACCCAGCAAGCAAAGTTCTCTGCAGTTTTAGAATAAAAAGTTAAAACAACAAGTAAGAAGTAAAGCAAAAAACCAGATGCAGAATTTAAAACTGAAATGGACTGGCAACCACACATGCCTTCTTCTCAGAGGTCCCAAGGCAGAGCTGGGCACCAATCACAGTACTATTGTGCTGCTCCTCTGTAAGAATTGCAGCCTATGCTGATAGGACTGAGCCCTCAAGGTGAAACCAGACCTTAAATGTCTGAAATTGCCCCTGGATTTTGGAGATAACCAAAGTACAGGTGATATGCTAGACAAATTATTTTGGCACCTGAGACTGAACAAATTATTTTCACACCTGAGGCAAATTATTTTGGCACCTTCTTCCTGGCAGCAAAAAAACACACAGCAATGATAAATTAAATAAAGAACCGTTTGCTGAACTTTTATCACACCCCAAATTCACAACCTGAGGCAGCCACTTCCCTTTGTCTAATGTTAGGGAAAGTTCTATACAATCTCTATCTTGACAGATCCTTTCTACAAACAATTTTCAGTTGCCAAATTCTGCTGTATTTACTCTAAACATAGCCCAGCTGCATTTTAGCAAATGATGTTCTCTTAGTAACTATGGTTCTAGTACATTTTAGTTCCTTGAAGTATTTTGTTTTCCCCCTTGGCTGGGTTTTAGTGCTGTTTTTGTTGTTCTTCATCTTATGCTGCCTCATGATGGCTTTATGATGATTTCTGTGCCATTTTTATACACTATTTTTTATGATTTTGTGGGTTTTTTGGGGGGAAATAGTAGTTGTATTTTCATCGTTTTTAAATTTGTGAACCACCCAGGGGACGTGGCTAATTGGGCACTACATAAATTCCATAAATAATTAAATGCTACCAAGTTATTCCTGTGGTTTCAACTCAGAAACCTATATTGGGCTTTGGTATATGAAAACTGTTATTAACTTATTTATTGCCAATCATTTCCACCCTGCCTTTCTATTATAGTTATTAAAAAGATTAAATTATATAAATCTAGATCTACTCTCTACATATATAACCCCAGATCCTCCGTAATTTTGTCAAAAGATTCCGTCCCTTTTATTCACAGCCTGTACCAAATTATTTCATGATATATGTACATAGAATCGTAGAATTGTAGAGTTGGAAGAGACCCCAATGGTAATCTAGTCCAACCCCTTGCAATACACAAATCACAACTGAAGATGGGGGGGGGGGGGAGAGACACAGCTACATTAGCCTGGATTCATTTATTTTAGGGAAGTTTTTTTAAAAAAACAAACAAACAACAACAACAGTCCTGACAGCAGGGAAAATGCCTACAAGCATGCAAACCAATAGTTCAAAGAGAAAAGGCAAACCGGAATAGAACAATGGAATCAATGCATGTGACCAGTTTTGATGTTGTCTTCTGAAATTTAGATGTATAGAGGTTTGCAATTCAGAGATATTGCATGAATAACATTCAGTGGATTCAAACCAGGGTTGGGGAACCTTTTTCATTCCTTCTGGATAACCCTTTGGGAGCCACATTCTAGTGGTGGGTAAGGCTAGAGGCAAAAGCGAGCAGAACAACAACAAAGTTAACTATTGACTTTATACAATAGGCTGACTTCTCCACACACTCACACAGCTCTCTTTATCCTTCATCCAGACAAGTATGATTCGGACAATAAATCCCCTCATAACGGCGTTTTCTCCTAAGTAGGACTAAGCTGAAGAGGGTGTGTTTTGAAAAAATGTTCTCTCGCCTCCCCCATGAAAATACACCCCTCTCTTGGCAATTTTTCAGAGAACTATGCTAAAAGATGACAAAGTGCTCCCCTCTTTACTCGTTCCATATTGTAATTCCAGTTACTCTTACTTAGATCTCTTCCACGCTTTGTGTTGCTCTCTCTCCCCTACCTGCCCCATTCAGAATGAGGGCAAATGTGCTAAAAAGTCATAGAGTTGGAAGGTACCACAAAGATCATATAGCAATGCAGGAAACTTTTACCCAACGTGGTGCTTGATCCCTCAACCCTGAGATTATGCCCTACCATGGTCTACCAACTGAGCTACTCCAGCTTCCTCACACTGAAATGACCCATTTGGAGGTCATCACATATGAAAGCTGTGCCATGTTGTGGCATCATCATGCTCACCATTTAATTTCTGGTATTCTGGGATCATGCAATCGGGGAAATGGGACAGGAGAAACAGAAAGCAGAAATAATGGAGGCTGCAAACAGTCACTGACAAGTCAAAGAGAGGTATCTTTGTGGGAGGTAAAAGGTAAAGGTACCCCTGCCCGTACGGGCCACTCTTTCCAGACTCTAGGGTTGTGCGCTCATCTCACTCTATAGGCCGGGAGCCAGCGCTGTCCGCAGACACTTCCGGGTCACGTGGCCAGCGTGACAAGCTGCATCTGGCGAGCCAGCACAGCACACGGAACGCCGTTTACCTTCCCGCTGGTAAGCGGTCCCTATTTATCTCCTTGCACCCGAAGGTGCTTTCGAACTGCTAGGTTGGCAGGCGCTGGGACCGAACGACGGGAGCGCACCCCGCCGCGGGGTCTTTGTGGGAGAGTATGGGGAAATTTATTGCACTACTAATGGGAACTGATTGTGGAATTAATAGTAGGTTGAACTCCTTCAGAAATCCTTGTTTCATTAATGACTGATGGCCAGGGTGTGTTGTATATCTGAATCTCCCTTCCCTTTTTGCAAAGTATTGTTTCAACGCAGAGATGTGAGGAAGGACTTGAAGAACAAGCATCTGTTTCACGAGATCCTGTTTCTTGTTTTCTTCCTTCCCAGACCCTGTCCCGGTAACAGCCAAAATAGGGGGTGTAGCCACACTCCCTTGCAACTACAAAATGCAACGGCCCCTGGCATCTTACAGGATCTACTGGCAGAAATACGTAGGCCCTGGTATATCTGACCTGGTTGTGATAGCTTACAGCAACGGCGAAGAAAACACCGTAAAAGACATACATTTCCAGAACAGGACAAAGATGGATGAGAAGACTCTTACACTTTGGATCTCCGGTGTGAATGTGTCCGATCAAGGCAAATATAGGTGTATCATATTACTGGAGGAAGAACACAAAGGTGATAAATGGGTACATTTATCAGTGTCAGGTAAGTGCTTGTCTAGCAAAACAGGATTTTAAGTACCCAAGCAATGCTTAAGGGTCCTATTCATTTGTGTTAGACAGGGTCCAACATTACTCAACGTTGCTATGAGGGGAATGTGAATTTGAGAGAAAGGATACTATTTTCCCCCCCAATTTTTTTTATTGAATTTTCCACAATTACAACACTAACAATCTAACAAAAAAGAAAAGGGAAAAAAGGGAAAGAACACACATACCAAAAGAAAAAACAGTACAATACATTACAAGAAAGACATAACCATAACCACAACATAGGAGAAAATAATCTTAAACCTTTACAACCCAACCTTGTTTACATATTGGTTGACTTCCTCTAATCCCTCCCTTCTGAGTTTCCTTGTATCTGTATGTAACAGCTTTCCAATATCATTCTTCAACAAAAATATTTCCAATTATTAGCTAACTTATTCACTTTTATTACTATTCTAAACCCAATTTATTTAATAAATCCTAATTTAATCCTAATTTAGGGACACGGGTGGCGCTGTGGGTTAAAGCCTCAGCGCCTAGGACTTGCCGATCGAAAGGTCGGCGGTTCGAATCCCCGCGGCGGGGTGCGCTCCCGTCGTTCGGTCCCAGCGCCTGCCAACCTAGCAGTTCGAAAGCACCTTCGGGTACAAGTAGATAAATAGGGACCGCTTACCAGCGGGAAGGTAAACGGTGTTTCCGTGTGCGGCTCTGGCTCGCCAGATGCAGCTTGTCACGCTAGCCACGTGACCTGGAAGTGTCTGCGGACAGCGCTGGCTCCCGGCCTATAGAGTGAGATGAGCGCACAACCCTAGAGTCTGGCAAGACTGGCCCGTACGGGCAGGGGTACCTTTACCTTTACCTTTAATTTAATCCTAGGCCTCTTTGGTGCTTTCAAATGATTTCTAGTTTTTAATATTATAATATTTGTTCAGGTAGTCCTTAAATTTCTTCCAATCTTCTTGGTATTCCTCTTCTTTCTGGTCGCGGATTCTTCCCGTAAGGTCAGCTAGCTCCGAAAAGTGCATCATCTTCATCTGCCAATCTTCCACAGTTGATACTTCTTGTATTTTCCAGTTCTTGGCTAGTAAAATTCAAGCAGCCGTCGTGGCATACAAAAATAATTTAACATCTTTCTTGGGCAATTCCAAACCTGTTATCCCAAGAAGAAAGGCCTCCGGTTTCTTAATAAATGTACCCGGTATATTTCAACATATTTTTTTTCCAATTCATTGTAAATCTTTTCCCAGAAGTCTTTCACCTTGGGACAGGTCCACCACATATGAAAAAGGGTACCTTCTTTTTCTTTACACTTCCAACAGAGATTATCACTATTATGATACATCTTTGCTAATTTTACAGGGGTTAAGTACCATCTATACATCATTTTCATTATATTTTCCTTTAACATTGTACATGCAGTAAACTTAACCCCTTTCTTCCATAACCTTTCCCAATCTTCCAGCATTATATTATGTCCAAGAGAAAGGATGCTATTAACCCGTTATAATAAGAACTCTTACCATAGAAAGTAATTTAGAACTCTTAGTAATATAGCACCATTTAGATTACAAGCCATGGCAGGAACCTCTACGAGTGTCTCCCATTGAAATGAATGGGATTTCCTAAAGAGCACTCTGCTGTTCAAGTGCAAGTCAGATTAAATTTGATATTTCTGTAGAAAAATAATCCTTAAGCATAGTGCCAATAACATTGTTTGACATCTCAATATGTACAAGTGTAACTTGTGATCTTACTGTCTTTTCCTCCCTCTAGCTGACTATAGGAAGCCTGTCATACATGTATCACATAATCCCTGTGGCCCAGCTCAGTTGACACTGATGTGTTCTTCTTATGGAGGATATCCAGAGGCTACGATGTCTTGGTTGGTCAATAATGAGACAGTGCGGTGTTCCTATACTTCCATAAAGGACAACTACACTGAAAGTTTTAATATTACTGGCAACTTACAGCAAAACGTGTCTGAAGATATCTTAGTCCAATGTCGAATACATTATGCAGGTTTACAAGTGTCCACCGACCACCTCTTGTGTAAGTTCCCTCAATCATACACTGAGACAGTGTTTCTCATTTGTGAAATATAGCCATTCAGAAGACTTACAAGGACTAAACCTCAGAATTTTTCAAATGAGATTGGTTCCATTTAGGGAGATCTACAAATGACAAATGACCATTAATTTGGCGAGTCTTTATCTCTGGATCTAAAATAGCTGTGTGTTGTTAGAAAGACACTGTATCTTTTATTATTATTATTTCTTCCTATAGAAGTTTAGCATCGCAGCTGAAAATATTTGGTCAGCTGATGGGACATTTCTGCTTTTTCATGGATTCCATCTTGAACAGTACCAGAAACACTAGCAAAAAATATAGATAGCATTGTAACTATTTAGCTGAACCAGTGAGAAATGCAAAACCGAGTCACTGTCTTGGATTATTTGTATGTTCCTGTGGGTGGGTGGGTGGGTGTGTGGGTGGGTGTGCAGGCAGCAAATATTCCTGTGCCTCAGCTTGGAATGTGGTATCCATTTGTTTATCCTTACAATATTATCAAGTAGATGGAGGGAATTGTAAGACATTAAGCGATGGCCATGATTTCCATATGTAGGTGGGTTTCAAGTTTAAACAGGAGAAAGGAAAACTAACTTAATGTTGGAAGTGCTCCACTCAGATACATGGCACTCAGTGCCCCAAAGTATTGCTTCTCATGTGCCCCTTGGGCTCTTCAGTGCAGTCGCAGATTTATCTTCAATTCTCTCGTTTCAGCAATAGGGAAGTGCCCCAATTCATCTCCACCGCCTCCTCCGCATGGTTTCATAGCGGCTTCCATTGTTATCCTCGTCCTTGCTCTCGTGATAGTGCCAACATTCCTCCGATGCCGCCGCCGCAGTAAGTTCCGATGCCTTTGTGACCAACCAGTGTAGGAAACTGTGGTGTGGTTGAGACCCCTGCTAGGAATTCAGAGACCCAGGTTAAAATCCGCACTTAGCCGTCAAGACTTCTAATCAGTTGTCTCATAGCCTAGCCTATCTCACAGCCTTGTTACCAGAATAATAGGGGTAGAAGAACCATGCACACCACCAAGAAGAAAGGCAGCATATAAATGCAATAGGTATCTTTTCATAAACCCTTAGGTTACTACTGGAAACAAACCATTGTTCATAGTTTACATGTTCCAGGGCTGTGGCCAAACATTGCAAGCAGATCCTTAGGCTCATTACATGCTCAACTTAAACTGTAGCCATGTTAGGAAATGAATGTTTGCTTTTTATGGGTTGTATCCAGCTAAGCTCAGTACAGACTAGGCCCACTGAAATTAATGAGCCCAAGTTCATCATGTTCATTAATTTCAGTGGGTCTACTTTGAGTAAGGCCAGCATTGGATGCAATCCTATTTGTTTAACAATATTTCTAGTCCCACTAGGGCAATGGGCCCTTTCCCTGGCGTGCTGCCCGTGAATTCATAAAAAATATAGTAAGAGGTTTACAGGACTAAAAGCAACAAGCTAAAATCATACTTTAAAAAACAACAACACACAACCCCTCCCAAATCAGGGATATTTCAGCTCAGCAAAAAAATAGCACTAAGTGGTGGGGAGGGAGGGGAGCCATCATCCCACGGCAAACTGAAATATATGTGCATTGGGAAACAAGTGTGAATGAGCCCCAATATTCAACTGGAGCCATAGTGCTGGACCATATTCTTTTCCAGGTTACGTGGCTGAGTTGTGAGTCTGCAAACATTTTTCCATCAGAAAATGTTGCCTCCAGATTCCTTAAGCTTAGTGCTGCAGCTTCGTAAAAGGGAATGAAGCCACACTCTGAAAACATTATACCCTCTGCTTCTTAAGAACGCTCCAACTTCCCTAGCCTATATTCCACAATGTAAATAAATATGTAAAAGAATTTCCCCACACCCCTAGCACGCAATCTTGAGAATTAAACCTGACCTTTGAAAGAGGGGAGTTGGGGGGTCAGTGAGTTTGTTCTTCAGGGCAACTGCCTGTTAAAAATGCCTCTGGCTGCAAGTTACATTGGTTGTCTTCAGGTTCCCCTTTCGGTGAATGAAAAGGCAATTCTAGTAGCTGGTTCTTCTAATGTATGCAGGCAAGAAGACAGTTCCAGTTTTCATAATGTTAGGCCAATGAAGCTAGTGATATACACAAAGTGATATTTTCAACTACCACCCCAGAACTAAATGACCATGAAACATTTCAATTTGCACCAGTTTTATTTGAAAAAAATCAGGGATTGGTTAAATGTATTCTTCAACTATAAATGAATTATTCAGAGCATGCATGGATGTGATGCACTAGTGGGAACCACTGCAACAGTATTATGGAAAGCAACACATACTGCAGGATAATAGAGATGAAGTTTAAAATTATTTTTATTTATTTTATTTACAAGAGATGCTGTGTCAAATAGTTAGGCATGTGGAAGGTAACATATGTGACTGCAGGCTTACAATCTAAATACAAACTCAGAAACTACTTTGTATTTAGACTCCTTTGCAGTCTTAAAATTAGTTGCAAAGTGGAATAAGTCCCAAACTTCCAAAGCTTTGGCTATTACTGAACTCTGCTACTCTGTCTGCTGATAGGCCGTATTTGCTCGTCCGAACTTTTTTCTAACTTCTGAGAACAATTCAGAGTGCTAGTTCTGAGGGGTGTAGTGGTTAGAGCAGGGGTCAGCAAACTTTTTTCGCAGGGGGCCGGTCCACTGTCCCTCAGAACTTGTGGGGGGCCAGACTATATTTTGGAGGAAAAAATCCCCCCCGACTCTCCCCTCCCTTCTCCACATCACTGGATGAGACCCGGTGGTCGCTTACCCGTGCCTTCGGAGTGGCAGGAGCTGGCGGCGGCAGCGGAGGGACAATGAGTGACGTGAAAGGGCTGGCTCCAGAGAGGGGCTGCTTAAAATGGCGCTCAGCCATCAACAAAGCCCAGCCCCCTTCCTCCTCTAGGCAGGGCTGGGAGAAGCCAGGAGGGAGGAGGCGCTGCCACGGTGTCTGTGAGGGAGGGGGGAAATGGTGCAGCCCGAAGCATCAGAATCCCTGTGCTGATCCATGCGGCAATTCCCGGACCATCTGTGGGCTGGATCCAGAAGACAATTGGGCCATATCCGGCCCCTGGGCCTTAGTTTGCCAACCCATGGGTTAGAGTTTTGGATTAGGATAGGGGTGGGGAACCTTTGCCTCTGCAGATGTTGCTGAACTGGAACTCTCCTCAGCCCCAGCAAGCATGGCCAATGGCCTGGGATGGTGGGATTTGTAGTTTAGTGACATCTGCAAGTCCAAAAGTATCCCACCCCTGGATTAAGACATGGGAGACTAGAGTTCAAATCCCCACTCAGCTATGAAGCTCACTGGGTGACCCTGACCGGTCATAGCCTCTTAGCCTATGTTTTGCTGTTCTTTATTGACTTTTTGACCCATGCTCCACCCTCATGACTAATGGGAGTTCCCCCCACCCCCACTCTTTGACATATTTTTAAAATTCTTAGTCACGTTGGTAAAGATTTTCTGTTCAATGTTGCTGAACCAATTGACGTTTCAGAGCCTGTGACATCTCACCAGCCAGTGGCAACAAGTGAAATGACATCGCAGCAGCTTTCCAACGGGACATTGGAAGCAGCATGTGCCTGACCATAGAGAAACCTGGGCAGTGGCGTTTGATTTTCAACATTCTGCTCTGGTGAAATGGACATAATCACCCTGGATCCCAGAACCTGGAGTGCATCACTCTTCACAACGACACAGGGCATACCTCTCTCTTTCCAGGTGTGATAGAAGCATTGCTCAGAAAAAGGGCGGGAGGGGTAAGGGTTAAAAGCACTACCCATCATACTGACTGTTCCACCTCAACAGCATTTTTTTACAAGTACCCCCCCCAAACGATCAGATAACTACATACAACGCGTAGTACCATCTTCTAGACAACTGCCTGATTTGGAAGGGGAAATGAACCGTTGTTCTTCATAAGCAGAAATTTTACAGTGAAGTTCATTTCAAACCAAAGAGTGCTTCCCCCACTCCCGCTGGGACAGATCCACTGGCTTGGACATCTCCAGCCATCTTACTGCGTGAAACCACCTCTTCCTTGTGACTTGTGAGCAACTCCACCAGCAAAGCAGCACCCGTTTCAAGTGGAAAAGGGAGCAATGCTTTGGCAATGCTCTGTCTCCGAAATCACACCAAGGAAAGCAAACGCTCCTTTTATGAGGTATCGGCGTCCCAGCACCCAAAACTAATTGGGGGCACCACATGGGATGCGTGGTAGACTGGACCACTTGTCCCCAGCTGCAGAGCCCGTTGATCTTTGCTAAACTAGCTCTCACTCACGTTGTAATAAAATCCTCAGTTAGGGGGGTATTTAGTGTAAGGGTGAGATGTTCTCGCCATTATTTGCCATCCACGCACATGCAGTTTGCAACAGAATGGAAGGTACTAGTATGGTTCTGCAGCTGGAGAAGCCATACCCAGGAACAGTATTATTGCCTGCTATGTAGGGTAAAGAATGTTTTCTCATTTTGGAAACTCTCCTTCAACTTAAATTGTGGCTTGCACATAATTTATCACCTCTCATCCCTAATTTTATTTACCAGAAAATAAGCCTGGCATGCTTATAGCTTTATTATACTTGTTGCTATGGACCCTCTATGTAAATGTAGGGGTAGCAAGAACTATTTATTGGCCATATGAGTATTTTTAAATATTCATTTGCTATTGCTGTAATAAGATTTATAATGTATAAAGCTTTAATGTATTAGCTTTAATGGGATATATGCCTACCTGAGCATCAGGATTTCAATACTATAAGCACACTTAACTCTTAAGCAGGATTCTTCCATGGCATTCAATGGAGGAAGAAAATGCCCAAGAGCCAGGGGTTAACTCAGTTTATCTTCTAACTCACTCAGTTTGTCATGTAAACAGGCTCTAAACCACCATTATTTGGTTTAAACCGAGAGTTAACCCAACCACTGAAGAAAGCAGACCCAAGTTTCACAAACACTTTAGCAGAAACTCTCCCTGCCACATTAAAGTTTGTCTCTAAGGTGATTGACAAAGGACGTGGACAGGTTTCTAGGGTGTCTGCTTATTTGTAAACCTTTCATATCACAATTGGAACTGTAACGTTATAAGTCCTGTCTGTTTAAAGCAGCCCAGCTTTTCTGCAGGCTCCCCAAACAATGTATTTCTCAGCTGTGCAAAATGTATCCAAGCATTGCTGTCTCCTATTTTCACTTTATTCTTGACTGTAAACTAGGTTAAATCTGTAATTATGCCAAGTTATATTTTAGCATTAGCTTTTCAGCAAATCATCCTTATATACTGTATATACGTGTGTGTGTGTGTGTGTGTGTGTGTGTGTGTGTGTGTGTGTGTGTCCCCTCATCCTGAGATGGTGGCTGTTCTTTTTAAACTATTTTTATACAATTATACCAATAAAATAAAGTTAAACTTTTGTCTTTTTTGCACTTCAAATATAAAACACATTTGTGCCTGGTTATTCCATTTAATGAAATGTATGGTTATATATACTCAGGCTTTTAATAAATGAGTCAGTGCAGTAAGTGAACTGGATTATTTAGGATTTTTTTTCTTTCATTGCATTTAACAGGCCTTTTATTCTCATTTTCTTATGGGCAAAAAAGAGTGCCTGAAGAGAGCAAAGACATGAACAATAAGTCATAAAAACTCAGCCACAATTTACACAAACCAATTATGGTTTGTGGCTTTCATCCTACTCCTTTCCTCCCCAATGATGTTTGTGGCAAATGGATCACTTGTCTCATTAATACTCATCTGTGTATTCTACTAGGTAACGGTTTTATCGCAATGGTGGAAGGAAAAGAAAGCCCAAATATTTTGTGGTTATTTCTGGTAATCCTTACAGAAACTGAGCAGTTCATGGTCTCATCAGAGCTTGGACAGGAGACTTCCTGAGAACCTCTGTACACAGCTGAATTCCAGCACTAAAGAAACCAAGATACAACGGTTACAGTGACAAATTATAGCTACCATGTACAGTGGTACCTCACGTTACGTACCGTTCTCCTTACGAATCCTTTGGGTTACGCGCTCTGCTGACCCGGAAGTAGATGTCCCTTGTTGTGACCTTTGTCCCGGGATGCAAGTGGAAATTGCGTGCCGGTGGTGCGGCAGCAGTGAGAGGCGCCATTAGCGAAAGCTCGCCTCATGTTATGAGTGGTTTCCAGTTACGAACCGGAATGGATTAAGTTCGCAACCAGAGGTACCACCATACCCAAATAGGTGGGGCCAAAAACCCCTTTTCAGAACAATTGCCAAGCGTTTTCACTACATCAAAACCATCTTTTCAAAGACATTCCACCCTTTCTTCACCGCCTCTATTGCATCTGCAGAAAATAGTAGCAGGAGACTCTTTCAGGTGGTCCGCAATTTAACGGAACCACCTTTACCACCGGGGCCTTGTAAAGACCCCAAGATCTCCTGCAACGATTTTGCAAAGTTTTTTGCAGATAAAATCACTCATATTCGGAAGGAGCTAGACATCACCGTGGGAGCAGGCTGGGGCGGGAGAGTGCTAGAGCCCTGTCTGGTCAAGTTGCATGGAATCAATTTCAATCCGTTACCCCTGAGGATGTGGACAGGCTGCTTGGACGCGTGAAACCAACCACCTGTCTCCTTGATCCTTGCCCATCCTGGCTAATAAAAGCAAGCCGGGAAGGGCTGGGCGATGGGCTCTGCGGGGTGGTGAATGCTTCCCTCTGTGAGGGAACATTCCCAGATCCGCTGAAAGAGGCAGTCATTAAACCGCTTCTTAAAAAACCATCTTTAGACCCGGCCAGTATGGCCAACTATCGCCCAGTCTCAAATCTTCCATTCTTGGGCAAGGTGATTGAGCGTGTGGTTGCTGAACAACTCCAGGCACGCCTGGAGGATGCGGACCATTTGGATCCCTTCCAATCGGGGTTCAGGCCTCATCATGGGACTGAAACTGCCTTGGTCACACTGGTTGATGATCTCCGGCGAGCTAGGGACAAAGGTAAGAGTTGTTTCCTAGTTCTGCTGGATCTCTCAGCAGCCTTTGATACAATCAACCATAACATCCTTCTGGACCGTCTAGAGGGGTTGGGAGCTGGGGGCACTGTTATACAGTGGTTTCGCTCCTTCCTCCTGGGCCGTGTTCAGAAAGTGGTGGTGGGGGATGAGTGTTCAGACCCCTGGGCCCTCACTTGTGGGGTGCCTCAGGGTTCCATCCTCTCCCCCATGCTTTTTAACATCTATATGAAGCCGCTGGGAGAGATCATCAGGGGGTTTGGACTGGGTGTCCATCAATATGCAGATGATACCCAGCTCTACCTCTCTCTCAAATCAGAACCAGTGAAGGCGGTGAAGGTCCTGTGTGAGTGCCTGGAGGCGGTTGGAGGATGGATGGCGGCTAATGGATTGAAGTTGAATCCTGACAAGACAGAAGTACTGTTTTTGGGGGGCAGGGGGTGGGCTGGTGTGGAGGACTCCCTGGTCCTGAATAGGGTAACTGCCCCTGAAGGACCAGGTGCGTAGCCTGGGAGTCATTTTGGACTCACAGCTGTCCATGGAGGCGCAGGTCAATTCTGTATCCAGGGCAGCTGTCTACCAACTCCACCTGGTACGCAGGCTGAGACCCTACCTGCCCGCGGACTGTCTCGCCAGAGTGGTGCATGCTCTAGTTATCTCCCGCTTGGACTACTGCAATGCGCTCTACGTGGGGCTACCTTTGAAGGTGACTCGGAAACTACAGCTAATCCAGAATGCGGCAGCTAGACTGGTGACTGGGGGCGGCCGCCGAGACCACATAACACCAGTCTTGAAAGACCTACATTGGCTCCCAGTACATTTCCGAGCACAATTCAAAGTGCTGGTGTTGACCTTTAAAGCCCTAAACGGCCTCGGCCCAGTATACCTGAAGGAGCGTCTCCACCCCCATCGTTCTGCCCGGACGCTGAGGTCCAGCGCCGAGGGCCTTCTGGCGGTTCCCTCATTGCGAGAAGCAAAGCTACAGGGAACCAGGCAGAGGGCCTTCTCGGTAGTGGCACCCGCCCTGTGGAACGCCCTCCCATCAGATGTCAAAACGATAAACAACTACCTGACATTCAGAAGACATCTTAAGGCAGCCCTGTTCAGGGAAGTTTTTAATGTATGATATTTTAGTGTTTTTTGGTTTCTATGTAGGCCGGCCAGAGTAAGTATTATTACTTAGGGCAGAAGGCAACTTGTGATTTCAAGTATGCTTATTGTTACAGAAATTACGGGGGGGGGGGCACATCTTTAAAGTTGTTACAAATATAATGCATAAATGTATCCTTTCGACTTGACAGCTCAGGGAAGTTACCTAGCTTTAACAATCATATAAAATCAACTCCTTTGCCAGTTTCCTCCATTTCAACACTATTTTGCCCTTGGAAAAACGACTCTTTTCCCTGCCACCTCCCCAAGCATGAGGATGTGTATACACACCTCCTACCCCAGGAAGTGACCAGAGGTGACAGCTGCTGAGCTTGTTGTTGGCCAAGGAAAGCCTAATCCCATCACCAGACTTGCCAAGGAGTCCAGACATGCAAAGGAAGTTCTATTGTATTTTGGGCGGTAGGACTCAGAGGTGTTTGCTTATGCTAATCTTATACCTGGGCCTTGCCCTGACATGTCTGCTTATGCTAATCTTGTACCAAGAACTTGTCTGGACATGTTTGCCAAGGTTAAACTAGTGCAACCCGTCTACTCCTCCCCTTTTGTGACATGTCAGTGATGTAGCAATGATACTGTACAAACTGTATTTTGGATATGGTGGGAAAGTTTTAAAAGTCATTGTCACCCCATTCCTCTTTGAACCTGCTGCACAATAAACTTTGGTCTACAGTTATTTGCTCTGATTGGTGGCTGGACTCCTTCCTTTATTCTGCAGGGACCAACAGGCTCTGCCCGACAAGCTGGGTGACTGAGCAGCCTTGCACCTAGATTTTTCTGTAACACTTATACTGCAGGAAATGCCACTATTTTAGGACAAACTTTGGTATATTGGGCATGAATGCGCTTTTAAAAAATCCTGAAAATCTGTAGCCAACTGAGTTGGGATTGTACGCAAGGATGCCAACAGGGTTTTTCCAGGGCCTGGTACACTGCATGTGATGTGAGGCCCCTGCACACACCCCAAAATCTGATGGAGAGACCTGCTGCTTATTAACTTTGCACCAGCCCTGTGAGGTAGGCTAGGCCAAGATAAAAGAGGGAAGGAGAGGATAATGTATACAACCTCGGGCTCCTGAGTAGAAAAGCAAGATACATATTTGTATCACAGATCATGTAATACAATGCTTTAACTACTACATTTCATAGTCTTCATACTTACAGCAAAATGACAAAACAAGACACTGCAATATCACCATTATTTTCTCATTTATTCCAAGGGAACTCCTTCCAAGTGAAACATACCAAAGCTAGTCAATGCTGTTTTATATTGTAATGGCAGAACATTTTTGCTGACGTGTTGTGTGGAAGCCCCACAGCTTGCACACATGACATGAGCATGCACACATGGCTGCAGCAGACCTTGGGGGGCAGCGCTTTATTCAGAAATATTGGGGGAGCCTTAGCTCCCCCCAGCACCTATGTCTCCTGGTATGTAGTAAGGTCAAAGGTAAGTTAAGATTTATAGTACTGCATTCAAAAGCACCAAACCCAAGAATTCATATAGCAATGAACATTCAAAATAATAATTTTTTTTCTTTATTGTTTTAGATTTACTCCACCGTTCAACCCATCAACTTACCCTGGAGACCTTCGGAATACACCCATGTTATCCCTTAGAGCATATCCCCAAAAAGTGAATTTTGTATTTTCTCTATCCAGAGAAGTAATTCAATCTTATTCCTCTCCCAACTAAAGAGGAAGCTAGTCATCACCTGAAGCTGAACTTTCCATGTTCCTGGTTTATCTGACAAAACCTAGGAGCTCTTCAAGAGAGTCCATTGTGTACTGAGCAACAGGCCACAAGAAAAACTTTTAACACCACTTGTTAAGAGTTCCAGTGTGCAATACTAAAAACATTTGTTTTCACTCATGATCTGGGAGAAGCTCCTTCCTGAAGTACATCATCCATTTCCTTTGAGATGTTTTCAGTGATGCTGAGCCTGGTCCTCCTAAAAAGAAAAAGAAAAAAGAACATGGTTGTACTTCTGAGAGGAAAACAAAACTGCACCTCATATGCTTATATCACCATTAACATTGGAGGCTGAAACTTATTAGAAAAACTAACTAATAAACTGAAACTGACACAGGGACAAACAGAAGAAGATGCCTTCACCCCAGTATGGATCCCCTTTATCACATACATAGCCTAACAAGACAATGACAAGAATCCACCAACAGCATACGAATCAATCTGGCTAACCTGATTCAAAAATACACACACACACCGCTCACTCACAAAAACAAATCTCA